AATACCATGGAAAGGAATTTGAAATTAAAAATTTGAGGTTTTCTATAAAGAGAAAGTGATAGATAAAAACATTTCAGCTCTTAGGACCCCTCAACATAATAGGGTTGTTGAAAGTAAGAATAAAACTTTGGTAGAAGCCGTTAGAGCCATGTTGACTGAATATTCACTTCCTAAATATTTTTGGGCTGAAGCGATTAAAATAACTTATTATATTCTAAATAAGGTGAATATTAAATTTAAGTTAAATAAGAGACCATTTGAACTACTTAAGGGTAGGACACCCTACCTCCCACATTTATATGTCTTTGGATGTGAAGTATTCATTCATAATAATGGTAGAACTCTTTAAGTAAAATTTGATCCTAAATTTGATGAGGAAATGTTTTTAGGATAGTCAAGTATTGGTAAATTCTATAGAGTTTTTAACAAAAGGACATTGGTTGTATAAGATACCACTAATATATTTTTTAATGAATTTGATAATTCTGGATAGTCTAGGTTGGAAGAAGAGCATGTTGAAGAAATTTTCCAAGAAATTGAAAAATGCAAATCTTGAAGAAAATACTGGAGTAGAAAATATATTGCTATAGAATGGAAATATTATAAAAGTCATCCTAAAGAACTGATTTTAGGAGACTTGAGTTAAGGAGTTGAAACTAGGCATGGACTTAGTAAAGAAGTGAACCACTAAACATTTATTTCAATGATTTCACCCACTAACATAAATCTAGCACTTTCTGATGAATTTTGAATTCTTTTTATGTAAGAAGAGTTAAATCAATTTGTTAGAAATGATGTTTGAGAGTTGATAAAAAGACATAAAAATCAAAGTGTTATTAGAACTAACTGGGTTTTCAAAAATAGGATTAATGATTTAGGTTTAGTGGTTAGAAATTAGGCAAGATTGGTGGCCAAGGGGTACATTCAAATAGAAGGAATTTATTTTGAGGAGACTTGTTCCCCTATAGCTAGACTTGAAGCAATAAGTGTATTTCTAGCCTTTGTTTGTTTTAAATGATTTAAATTATTTCAGACGGATGTTTATAGTGCCTTTCTCAATGGGATGATAAAAGAATATGTTATTTTGAGCAACATCTAGGTTTTTAAAATTCATAGTTTCCTAATCATGTGTTTAAATTGTAAAAAAGTCTCCTAGGGCATGGTATCAAATGCTAAGCACATTCCTACAAGAATGATCTTATGTTAAAGTGAGTGTAAACAACACTATCTTCTTTAAAAGAGTAAGAGATGATATTCTCTTTGTTTAAATATATATTGATTGTTAATGATAGTTGCTATTTGCATGTTTTATATTCTTATAACTTGTATAGTTTTGATGATTCCAAATATTATTGTTCTTTGTGTAGTTATCTCCTAACAATTTTTAGAAGTTTTGTATTTGCTGCACTCAGATCATTCTTAATTACTTCTATGTTAACACATAAATATTTATATTTACTTAGATACCACTTAATTCTTAAGTAACATCAAAAGTATCACTTATTAACCGTTCTCGTTAAAATCTTGCTAATGATGTCATGCCACGTTACAACTATCTTATGTCTTCTTAGGCTTCGTTTGGGACGTCTTTCTTGCTGCTTCTTAAAGCAGTTTTTTAGTACAATAATTAAAATTTTTGTACTAAAAAGCTGTTTTAAGAAGCAACAAGAAAGTCGTCCCAAATGAAGCCTTAGTCGACGAGGGCTTAGTAGCACGGTCGTTGATCCACTGGTATGCCGATGAGATTTCATTATAATTTTCCTCATCTTTTTTATTGTCAAGGGGTTTCGGGTTGTAGAAACAATAAAAATGGCATTCCTCCAATTGATCTCATCGTGATTTCCTCTATGTACACACATGCCACCATCTTACTCATGGCATTTAGTGAAATCTCGCCATGAGACCATTGAACTTTCTCTTTTGGTCATATTCATGAGAGTATTTAACGAAGTGGTAAATTGTGTAAATATAAAGGTTTCGATATCAAATACATAGATGAGAAGGTTTTAAGTGTTATGTATGTATACCCACAGTTATTTTCTTAAACATAAAATAAATTTTAGGTGTTTTGAGTGTTATTCACTGTCAACCATGAACGCTGCCAACCGCATCATATAGTCGCCTCTACATGCCAACACATTCAGACACCACCTCTGGCCACCACCATTGGTAGCCACCAATAGTCGTCACCACCCATCATAGCTACTCTACTAGAGAACACCACCATCATCACTTAAAATCAATTTATTCAAAATTCAATACAAATAAATCATATATTTAAAATATCAAATGTATTTCATTTTAAAATAAAATAAAAATAAAATAAATAATAAATAATCTCATAAGACCCTTAGTCAATTATTCTTTATTATTCATTACATAATTCATTATACTTTTATTTTATAAAATATATATTATTGTAAAAAAATGATATTGATCTATCATATTCTTGTGGTCTTCGACTGCAACCAAACGTGTAATATAAATTTGGGATTACATTTTATTTGTTATGTGCTTGAGATTTTATAGTTGTGGAGTATGTTTTATATACTAAGTTTGAATAAAGATTAAGAACATACAGATAAAAGTTATAAGAGATTATAATATAAATATATATTTTTTTTTTCATAATAAAAAAGCTCTATTTATTAGCTCCCCTCCTTTATTAGCAAATTAAGACTTCATTTGGGATTACTTTTTAAAGCAGATTTTTAATACAAATTTTCTTAGAACTATTTATATATTTCAAATAGAGAAGCATATATATGATAATGCTCCGCTTCGTCTACTTCGAGCATTTAAAAAAAGCTCACTACCATTGCTTATAAAATTAGATCCAATTTTCTATTTATTGGCAATAACAATATTCTTCTTTATTTTTTATGCTTGAAGGGTAGATTCTCTCAAAATATATGCTTTTTTGCATCCGCCCTTAAAACATTCCTTGGAAGAACAATAGACTATGGGGCTGTTTCGTATGCATAATTAGAAGGGTAAAGCAATGTAATTACATGTATTTCTTTTATAAATACATTAGTTGTAATGCCAAAAAGAGATTATGACAAAAAAAATCACTTTTACTTTACTCTAGATCTACCTAACCAAACAAGGGATGCAATTCTCTTGCATTTATTTTGCAGACAACCAAATAATCTCAAAGTATTCAGAATATACTACATTTACTTTACATTGCATTTACTTTATACTGCATTTTCTTTTTAGGCAACCAAATAGCCCCTATATGCCAACAAAATGTCAAGCTCGTTTACTATCTTCCATAAGATAAAGTTTCAGTTTATGAGTAAGCTTAAAGCATGGAATTAATGCTTTGTTTGGGATAGCTTTCTTACTGTTTCTTAAAGCAAATTTTTAGTACAAAAATTTTCAACTTTTTAAAGCAACTTTTTTAGAATAAAAATTTTAACTGTAAAAAATTTTTATACTAAAAAATTGCTTTTAAAATCAGTAAAAAAGTTGTCCCAAAAAAAACTTAAATTCTCAGACTTAACTATCTTTGGTTGGGAAGTGGGATCCATTTTGCTTTTCTTAGCTTTATCTAGCACAACGCCATGGACTAAAATAATTGGTAGGGGTCGGGTTCGTTGTTATTTTAGGCTTTATTAGGGTCATCTTCCTTACTGTTTTCTATTTTTTTTTTAGTACAAAAATTCTAATTCAATAATTTTTTTGTCTAAAAAATAGTAAGAAAGCTATCTCAAATGAAACCTTAATCTTGCTTAGATGATCTTCCTATGTGTTCTAATTTTACTTCAAATTTTGATATGCTTTCTATGATTAATGGCATTGCTTTCTCAACGTGCATAGCATGGCCTAGAGCCCTCCTTTTGATAGACTACCCACTGCTTTGTTTAGAGCATATATTGTTGAAGTCATCTCCAATAGTTCTAGAGAGATTTTAATCCTTATTGTATAAACAAATTGTTTATTATTTAGCTTTAATTTTCATTGTGTGGAAGCTTATCCTTTTGAATGTTCCTAAGTTTCTTTAATATATAGCATAATTATTCTTTAAAATAAGGATAAATAGGGCTAAGTTAAGTTTAGCATGAGTTTGGATTCCACCAAATTAGGTATGTTGAAGCATGTTAAGGCTAATTAGGACTAGTTCTAGATCAATTGGCTCTGATTTCGATTTGGAGGAAACCGAGAGCGACTTAAAGTTGAAGTTAGCTCTAGCGGGATAGACTTTAGTTTGTCCACCTTGGAAAATAATTCAAGTTGGAGATCTGATCGTGGTAGGCAGTCGGCAGTCATCCGGTGACGGGCGGAGTCCAGCGACTATCAGTGGCTGGGTGGAGGTCCGATAATGGTCAATCGACAGAAGTTCGCCTACGGTGGAGCTCTAGAAGTCTTAGATATCTCTCCAATATTTAGCTAAAGGTCCCTATCATGTAGAGATTAGATATCTATCTATAGATTTTGTGAGTGACATACCTCATAAATAAAGAGAAAATTCGGGGCAAATTTATAGTGCTCCATTAGACAACTCATATTGATTCTCTCGATCATAGAGTTTTCATTCAACATTTAATTGCCTTAATGATGTCCAAATTATATGATCTTGGGTTCATTGGATTTCTCTCATCAAGTCGTTTGATTCAATTATAAGCATGTTACATTCGAATATCATTTGATCATCCAATTAATGCTTAAAGCTCCCCAATATATTTTAAGCTCTTAATTTATGCCATTTGGATTCGGATTGGACTGATTTTGATGTTGTTGGGTTTGTCTTACTAAGACCGTTAATTTAACTATAAATTTGTTGAAATTGGAGCTGCGATGATCTCGAATTTAATTTTGGAAGATGCTAGTTTAAATAAGACTTAAAATATAGGCCCAATTAAGATAATTTTTAAGATGTATCAATATTATTATGAAAAATAAAATCAAATTTTCTAATGTAAAAAATTAGGCTAAACATATGAGAGATATTATCCGCTCGATTACGTGCTAAAAAAAGCATCGTAAGGGAGCTTCCTAAAATGGCTACAAGAAATATATCCTCCGGGTCTCCAAAGAGCTACCAATGCATACGCCACCGGCTGTCCAATGCCAACCTTCCGGACTCTCTGGCCGACCCCAACCAGCCTCTTCCCCGACCGTCAACTAATGTTCCGCCGCCGCATCGCCGTCATCGGTGCCGGCGCCGCTGGCCTCGTAGCTGCGCGGGAGCTCCGACGTGAGGGCCACGGCGTTGTCGTCTTCGAGCGTGGTGACAGCGTCGGCGGAACCTGGGTCTACACTCCCGCAGTCGAATCCGATCCACTTAGCATCGACTCCAATCGAAAGGTCGTCCATTCCAGCCTCTACGATTCTCTTCGCACCAATCTTCCTAGGGAGTGCATGGGTTTTTCGGATTACCCCTTCGTCGCCGTTACCGGAAACAGTGATAATGACCACCGTCGCTTCCCAGGGCATCCTGAGGTCCTTCGCTACCTTGAAGATTTTTCGAGGGATGCCGATGTTAATGGGATGGTACGATTCCGGACCGAGGTTGTCAGTGTGGAGATGGAGGGGGAGGGAAGGTGGGCTGTGAGGTCGCGGAAGATCGATGATGGCCTTACAGGCGACGAAAGTGAGGTCTATGACGGTATTGTTGTTTGCAACGGCCACCATACCGAGCCTCGAGTCGCGGAAATTCCCGGTATTTAAGCTATGGCTTTTTCTTTTCTCTGCATTCTCTTCGCTTGTGTTGATGTTTAGATTTTTAATTTAAGTTTTCTGAATGGGTAGAGTATTGAATGAAGTCGAATGCCGACCAAGCATCAATGGCTGTTTATTTTTTTTTGTGAAAATTTAGGCTTTGCTTGGATTGAAAGAAAATGGTGGAAATTTTATGGTTTGTTTTTGTGAAATTTTATGAATCTGCCCGTTCAACTAACTACGAAAATTTCGGCATTCTAACTTCTACATGGGTCAATTTTACAAATTTACAATTCATGTATATCACTTTTACAATCAATATCCGCATAATTTACTAATCATATAAAATATAAATATAATTATTACAACCATTTGCTATAGAAAAGATACATATCCACAATTCATGGAATTCTTAAAGACAGAACTAAAAAGGTGCCATTGATTTTCAAAGCCATTCACCAAAATACTCAATTTACCCAATATAGAAGTGATTCTCACAACTTCTTATTAATAGCACAAGAGATGACCTATTAAAAAAAAAATAAAACATAATAGGGTGAATAGTAAGCTTAGTAAGTAGTGCCAAACTTATGGATATAAGTAAATAAGGTGTTCAATAAGATTTATACTCAATCAATATTAATATAGTGTTAAGAAGAAATTATCATGAAGAGCAACAATTAATCATGACATTTGGGAAGCGGCAAAATAGGTGTAAGTGAGATGTAGGCAATGCATCAATGATAGTTTTTAACAAGCTTTAGTAAAGATCAGTCAAGGTAATGTCAATCAATTCTAATATGCTATGAGAATCAATTTACATAAAACAAAGCAACAAAACTAGTATGTTTGTTGAGCATATGCCGATGGTAGAAAGATTATCATCCCTTAGTGAACTGTCGGTTCTAATATGAGCTCGTTGGTTTTTTATGTAGAGCATGAAGGCTCTGTGATAAAAATCAAATATTTATATGCATGAATCAAATTTATTGGTTTGGTAGAATTTTGAAGTATTTTTCAAGTGGAGTCATCTAGAGTTGATCATCATGATGTAAATATGAAAAAAAATTATGCATGTTATCCCATCATTCAATTTTGAAAATTTTGCAATCATCATTAATTTATTAAATATTTTTATTTTGAAAATTGTTATGTTGTTTTCATCATTCTAAAAGGAGTTGATTATTATTTAAATTTAAAAAGAAGATGACTTCAATTTTATTTTTCAAATATAAAAATAAATATCATATTTTTTATAGAATGACATCACCTTTAATTAAGGGTAGAGCAATTAAGGAAGATGTTGATCATCATAAAAGTAATAATTAGAATCTATTCTCTTTCCAATGAAGGATGGCCAAAATTTTAAACTAGAAAATATTCTTCAAACATTCTTCCCTTTCTCTATCTTTCATTAAAGTTTCAACACAAAAAAGAAAGATTTGGATGCTTTACAGTCAATGCAATGATCTCTTTAATTAAGTAAGGTGACCATTAGTTATGTAATCAAATCATAAAAATTTTTGAACTTTCTTTTCCCTTCATGAAATTATTTAGTAATACATATTTTAGTGCTTACAATATATAATTACTTGTATTAGAAAATCATGTTGGGTTGAAATATTATATAACATTCCTTGTATGAAATGAAAGATGAAACTTCGTTGGTTCTTCCTATTAGAGTTATTTGATGAGTTTGTAGAAATATTATTTATATCTTTCTTTATGTTATTATTTTTCTTAAATGTTAATTTATCTTATTTATTCATGTCATCTTTATATTATTATAAGTAGGCTACTATTAGACCGGTCCAGGAGGGACCAGTTGATGTAGGCAAAGGGGGGTCAAAATAAGTTGAGTTGAAATTTTTGTAAGTTATACTAGAATCAGCTCATTAATGAGCCTCTTTTACTTATCCAGCTCATAAATTATCATTATTGGGTTCATTCCCCCTTGCTTTGGCTCTTTGGTTTCTCCCCTCCTTGTCTCTTCTACCCATGGCTACCTTTTCCTCTTCCCCTTCTTTGTATCTCCTCGATTTCTTCCCTGACTGTTTCTCGTGGCTGCTCTTTCTCCTTTGCTGGCTGCTGGTTCCAGCCCCCTTTGTGCCCCTTCGGTTCCCTGCCTGACTGCTAGTCCGGTTCCTGTGCAGCCCCTTCGGTTTCCTCCCTGGTTGCTCGTCCCGTGGCAGCTTTTTCCCAGTTTTCTATGTGACCTTTTGAGTGCTGTTTTGGAATAATTTCTGGACTGATTTGGGCTGTTTGACTCCTTTCCTACATCAATTGGTGGCTTTTTGGTTCCTGTTTCTATTCAGATTCATGGCTTTGATTGCTTGGTTTTTGGGAGCCTTAAATGATGCCATTTTTCCAAGAGTTTCTACGGTTTTTGTTGGCTGTTTTGGACAGCTGTTTTAGGTGTCTTTTGAACTTCTTTTTATCTATTTATAGGGAGTTTTTGTAGCTGTTTAAGAGTTTGAAAAAAGAGTTTATGAACTAATTTTTAGAGATAAAAACCTAAGGGTTTTTCTTGGAAAAGCTTGAGAGCTTGTTCCACTTCTTTTCTCTTCTTCTTGGGAAGGCTTGCGAGTTTGTCCTCTCTTTCGTCTTGAACTTCTTACCTCTTTCTTCTCTCCGCAAGTTCGACGTCACTTGTATCCTTCTTCTCAAGCAAGGAAATGCAACTTTAGGAATTTATGTTTGTGTCAAAGTTTGTAAGCATTCTTTTATATTATAAAAAATGTCTTTTTGAGTTTTTCATGTATTTTTCTTTTGTCCTAGGAAGTGTTTTCTTTTGCTTGCAAAAATTAGGGGGTTGTCATAATTTTTGCATACATCACCGATCTAGCCGGTCTAGCAGGGACCGGGCTTCTATTATTCCAGGAGGAAGACTCCCGCCCAGGCAGCCTCCGCCTCTCTCCATGCGGGCGCAGCAGCATGTAAAAGAAATTTAAAGAGGAAATTAAGGGGGGGATATCTCTAATGAGGATGGAAATTCAAATTATAAGGGTTCTTTGGGCATTTTACTAAATTAATTGTATGCTTATGTAGGAATTGGAGGCTAGGGTTAGGGATATCTCTATTTTTTCTGAATTTGGGATTTCTCTTAGGTTTGCTAAGTCATCTTCGATTCCTGCACGTGTTTCATAACACATTCCTTCTATCTACATTAGTTTTAGTGGGATCCAATCCAACAATGATGATTTGCCAATTGCACTCATTAGTTCATTATAACAATCATTCTTGTTGCACCCATTGATCATGCACATCACAGGGGATGTCGTCTCATGCATTTTATTAATAAATCTAGTATGTGCATGGCAAATTATGTATGCAACACATCATTGGTGAATATCGTTGGCTACTTCTTTCATGATCCAATTACGTCTCTCTTCTTGTTGGAAGTAATTTGCTTAGTTGTGTCATCAGGAATTGAGATTTGGCCTGGAAAGCAGATTCATAGCCACAATTATCGCATTCCCCAGCATTTCTTGGGTCAGGTATGTGTTTTTTTTCTTAATTTATTTCTTATTTCTTCTCATTTTTGGTATTGCATGGCTGCATGCTCATTAGGGCTCATTAGGCGCCTTTTCTGTTAGATTATTGCCATTGCCTGTTCACTATCTTTTCATATAAGCAATTTTAAGGTTTGTCCATCTCAAGTACTTTATACAAACTTCATTTGCACTAATTCTAGAATGGGTAGGTCGTTGTTGTAATCGGTGGTTCAGCTAGTGCTGTTGATATCTCAAGGGACATTGCTGGTTTTGCCAAAGAAGTTCATGTTGCAAGTAGATCACATTGTGTCGAAAACCCCATGAAGCAACCTGGTTATGATAACTTGTGGCTTCACTCTATGGTAATAGCTTTGATCCCTGGTGAGTGAGATCCAGGTATTTTAAGTGGTTAAATTTTTTTCATGAAACTTCATGAAATTTCCTACATTGTTCTGATGCAGATTGAGAGCACTAACAGTGATGGTACTGTAGTTTTCCAAGATGGAAGTTCGGCCCATGTTGATGTTATCATGCACTGCACTGGGTAGGTATACGTGATCTGAATCTTTAGGATTCAGTGTGACTTAGAATTTTGGATGATATTTGATGATAGATTGCAACTATATATCATAAATGTTTGTATTTGTATGCGATGAAGTGACTTAGATCAAACTTCTTTGCATCCTATTAATTTTCATCTGCGTTACCTTCTTTTTTTTTGGACCAAGTTGATCCCTATGATGCTCTTGAATCTATCAATTGGCTCTGATTTTTTGTTAATGTAAAATACTTTCTTAGGCCATGGATTTATTCTTTGTTTGAGTGAGGGTTACTTGGGGCTCATTTGATCACTTGAAGTTAGGAAACATGTTTTGAAAAATGATGAGTTGTTTAGATTCTTTCATTTGATTGATGTAGTTTGAATTAGTGCTGGTTTTAAACTTTATATGCACCATTAAAATCTCTTAAATGTAATATTTTTTTTGTTTTCTAACTCAAAATGAGTGAAAATAAAATTGTCATATTCTAAAACTTACTTTTTATCTACAAGCTATCCAATGAGCCCTTAGAATGGCCAGACTGTAGGCTTTGCTACTGAAATTCAAATTGTGAAAACAAAAACCTGCCTCATGCAGAGATCATCGTGTTTGTGATAGCTGCAAGGAAAAGCTCTGCTATCTAAGAAAGGACGGCTCAAAAATCAGTGCAAACGAGACATAACTTGGTTATCTTGATAAATATAGTTTATATGGTGATTGAACAATTATATGGAATCATGGATGACTGCATTCTGTTTTCGTTGTTCGAAAAAGATGTGCAGTTACCTCCTGATGGAATTAAACGTAGAGCTGCAAGCTTTACAACTTTTAGAATATGTAAATACCGCTATAGATGAGTTAGGTCTCTCTTATTTGTTTGCTTATGTTCTTGTTGTTTAAATGTTAAATGGTAGTGAGAACTTTAATGTTTTATGGTGTAGAATATTGGCCATTAAAAGAGAAACATAATATTAAATTGTGTTGCAGAGATGAGGATGCTTAGGTCTATGAATGTCTTTACTTTTAAAGACATGATACAAAATGAGCATATACGTGAAAAGGTTGCAGTAGCTCCAGTGGAAGATAAGATTAGAGAGAGTCGCCTTAGATGTTTTGGTCACATAAAACGGCGGCCTTCCAATGATCTGATTAGAAAAGTAGATGTATTAGATTTGACTTATATTAAAGAAGGTAGAGGTAGATCTAAAAAGACTTGGTTAGAAAATATTAAAAATGGCATTTCTTTATTAGATTTAGATAAGAATTTGATTCTTAACGAGATACAATGTAGAAAAAGATTCATGTAGCCGATCCCACATTATGGGATAAAGACTTGTTATTGTTGTTGTTGTTGTTATAAGGAATTTCTCAATTCCTTTTATGTTGTGTTTTTAAATGACATTAGGGTTTAAATTTAAGTTTTATTTTCAGGTACAAGTATCATTTTCCTTTCCTCAAAACCGATGGTATCATTGATGTGGATGACAATCGGGTCTCATCACTTTATAAGCACGTCTTTCCACCACTTTTTGCTCCATATATTTCTTTCATTGGAATACCCTGGAAGGTTCTGGTCACGTGATTTCTGTTTCTGGGATCATTTTGTACTTGATTGTTATCTTTTTAATAATTGAAACTCAATAAAAAATGTTTGCAGGTCGTTCCTTTCCCCTTGTGTGAGCTTCAAAGTAAGTGGGTTGCGGGAGTTCTGTCAGGTCGGATTGCTCTCCCAACGCCTGAGGAGATGATGGAAGATGTTAAAGCTTTCTATTTAGAAATGGAGCAAGCTGCGCGGCCCAGAAGATACACTCATAATATTGCAGATTACCAGGTATTTTACCTTAGTTTTATGTTTCTGTTCTTACCAAGACGTCTTGTTATTCCTGTCTGTATAAATTATTAACTACATATATTTATTTATGTGTTATGGAGATGCTCATTAGAGATTCAAAGTGAGACACATACAGGTGAGATTTTAGCTTGAAGTTGAAGATCTTAGTAAGATCTAATCAATTTTTTTACTTTTATGAATCCAAACGAGCAAGCTACATGCCAAAACCTGGGCTTCGACTGATTTTTACAAAAATAGTGAGGTTGTTTGGCTGACATCAAACCAACTTTTGATCGATTTGAAATATACTCTATATATTGATGTTGCATATACATGCACACCTATTGATATGTACATTTGTGTAAATAAAAATCTTAGAAAGCTGAACAAAAATGATTTCAAGTATGCTCAGAATTGGATAGGTATTAACTATGAATTGATTACATCCTTACCAATAGATTTTCAAGTCTATGTTAAGCTTAACCAATACTTATTTGACTCCTAAGGTTTAAAATTGCATAATCAAGAATTGAGGCATTTTCTTTTTGTGAGACATGATGTAAATCTCAATACATTTTTAAGGCTTAAGTCTCAAATTAAAGCATTTAATTAATAAAAAATATGAAATAATAAGTAATATACTCATATTAAAGTGATATCATAAAAATTCAAATTAAAATCATAAAAAGCTATTAAAGGCTACAAAATATAGAATAAGATATGATAAAAAGAAGTAACAATGAAAGAAATAAGTGCAAACCATACAAGCAAAAAAGAATGAGAAGGGCTACTAGTAGGAGTGTCAAAATGGGTTAACGGTTCGGATTAGGGTTCAACCCGAAATTAACCCAACTTGAATGTAGTCAATCCAAACCTAACCCATTTAATAAATGGGTCAAAATTGTGAATTCGAATCCGACCCATTCGTAACCTGAATGATCTAAATCTGCCCGACCTAACAACCTGATTTAAAAAAAAAATGAAAATTATGAACTATAAAGTTTATCTTAATTGATCAAAAATAAGAAGATTTTACTAACAAGTAAAAGAATTTAAGGGAAAAAGGTTAAACATATCACTTTCAGGTTAAAGTCAAGTTTTAGTCAAGTTTGCAGGTCAACCCGAACCTAACCTATTTAATAAACCGATTGGAATTTCAAACTCGAACCTTACCCATTTATTAAACGGGTTAACCTAAACCCATATTTTTTGGGTTGGGTCTAAGCCAGTTCATTTATTGACACGCTAACTACCGGCAATCGGACTAGAGGAAGTGGAGTAGTTGTGATGGTACAATAGAGTTAGATGTTGTTGCTTGTTCCATGTGGGTTCTTGGTGGAATTTGAGGGCTGATGAGGCTCTCGGTTTTCTTGATAAGGCTTTTTTAAAAAACAAATAAGATTATGTTTAATTTGATATTTTAATTTTAAAATTGAAATTTTTATATATCCTAAACCTTAAATTTTGAGGTTTATGATTTAATGAAATAGTATTGAGGCGTGCTCCCTCCTATTAAAGCATTTGCCTCAGCTATCACACGTGAAGTGTTTGTGATGTAAATCTGCCTCATTACATTTCCTGTATCCCTCAGGTTGAGGCACGCCGCAAATTGTGCAATTTTAAACTTTATATGAGTCAATTTTGGGTCACAATGAACTGTTCTGAAATTGTGTAATTCTCAACCCTATGGCATATGTTTATTGTTTGTGCATAACATAGTTCTGATAGGTTAGATTTCCCCTGATAGAAGTGAAGTGTTTGAACAGTAAAGGAGGTGTAGAAGAGAAGGTGCTCAAGACTAGATGAATGAAAATTGAGCATATCACTTGCATTGGTGGATGCCATATTTTTATTATTAATCGATGTTGTTGGAAGATTAGGTTATATCCGGTGTTGGAAGATTAGATTATATCATACAAAACATTATTGGATATGGATGACTGCTTAAGTTTAGCATTAAAACTAGAAGATTGTGAAGAATTGTCTCTAAGGTAACTCTGCATAAGAAATATTATGCTAAAGTTTAATTATTAGAGTTTTTATGATATATAAATTGTAGTGTTGGGAAATAGTGGACATTAATGAATACATTAAGATGAATATGTAATAAAATTAAAAAATATGCATTAAAATTTGATAATATCAGTGATATCTATTATAGATAAGTTAGTTAAATATATTGCAAGTAAATTTAGTAATGAATACGATGCACCGATGAGATAAATAGATAGAAATTCATGAGAATGTAGAACAAAAGGAGCTGAACAAAATACTTAGCAGGTGAACTCAAAAATTTAAATTAAGAGAGGACGAGGATTCATAAAGTTAACCTAAAATAGTTGTATAAAGCTCTTGATGATGATTTATGACTACATTGTTAATGCTGGAATTTTGGTACTTTAAAGTTCTAATGATATTTGTGGCCAAATTAGTTGTATATGTTTTATATACTACAACAATAACAACATCAAATCTTTATCCCATTATGTGGGGTCGGCTACATTAATCTTTTTTCTCCATTGTGTAATGTTAAAACTTAAAAGTCAAATTCTTATTTAAATCTAATATAAGAAATGTCATTTCTAATATTTTCAAATCAAGTCTTGTTTAGGTCTATCTCTACCTTTCTTAACATCAGCCAAATCTAATACATCTACTTTCCTTACTGGGTCATGGGAAGGCTGCCGTTTTATGTGACCAAACCATCTAATCTTATCTTTCACTGGAGCTACTCCAACCGTTTCACATATTTGCTCATTTCGTATCCCGTCTCTAAGAGTAAATCCACTCATCCACCTGAGCATCCTCATCTATGCAACATTTAATTTAATGTTATTCTTCTCTTTTAATGGCCAACATTCTGCACCATTAAACAATGGTCTCACCACCAACTTATAGAATTTTTCCTTAAATTTGAGGGGGACTTTTCTATCACACAACAAGCTCAATGCATTCCTCCACTTCAACCATCCAATTTGAATTATACTAATAATATCCCTATCTATATCACCATCACCTGAACAATAGACCAAAGATTTCTAAATGTGTACTCTTATTGATGACTTGATCTCCCAAAGTCAAAATCCCCCCTACTAGATCTATTTCTACTTAAATTACACTCAATATATTCAGTTTTATATCTACTCAAATGAAAACCTTTAGACTCTAAGGTTGACCTCCATACTTCAAGTTTACCTTCAACTCCCTCTCTAGTCTTATCAATAAGAAGAATATCATCAGCAAAAAGCATACATTGGGATACAACCTCTTGCAAATGTCTAGTGAGAACATCCATGACTAAAACAAAAAGATATGGGCTTAAGGCGATCATTGATGTAATCCAACTGAAATAGGAAAATACTTGGTCAAATCACCTTGTGTTTGAACAAAAGTAACAACTCTTGCATACATAGCCTTAATGGCTTGAATATAAGCATTAGTAACCCTTTCTTTTCTAGAACTCTCCATAGCATTTTCTTGGAACTTTATCATATCCAATCTCTGAATCAATAAATATCATATGTAAATCTTTCTTATTCTCTCTGTACTTCTCCATCAAACCTATCTATAAATGTAATATTCCATAGTAGACCTACCCGGCATGAATCCAAATTGATTTTGAGAAACATTAGTGGGACGCCGCAACCTATGCTCCGTAACTTCTCCCATAGTTTTAATGTATGACACATTAACTTAATTTCTCCCTATTTCATACAATTTTGTACATCAAGTTAACCTAAAATAGTTGTATAAAGCTCTTGATAATGATTTATGACTACATTATTAATGCTGGAATTTTGGTACTTCAAAGTTCTAATGATATTTGTGGCTAAATTAGTTGTATATATATTATATATAAGACTAAAAAATTTTGGCTAGGCGAACCTTTGACAATTGCAGTTAATGTTGGAAGTTTGATAATTCAAAGTTCTACTGCCATTATGGTTAAAACAGCTGTGTATAAATTCATCCAAGTTCCTTAAATACTGTTTAGCGATGCCTGGGTCACTTCAATATTAAAAGATGTGCTATTTCGTCCCATCAATTTTGTGTGCGTTCAGCGTAGGTTATTTATTTAACAAAATCACAAGGTGGTATACTCTTTGAAACGTTTTGTATTGCTATAGTTATTTATGAATAATTTAGTATTTGATTCTTTATCATTTTTCTGATTTTCTCTCAGTTTTTTCGCATTCCTTTCCGGGAATGAGCTCCTAGTAACATACATGTGGGGATGAGTATTTTTTCTTCTTAAGAGTATTAATATCCAATTAGATTTTATTTGGGATAATATTACTTTATGAAGCAACTTTCTAGTACAAAAATTTTAAATTCATTTGTACTAAAAAACTGATTCATAAAATAGTAAGAAAGCTATCTCAAACGAAAGCCTTAGGCTTCGTTTGGGACGGCTTTTTTATTGCTTTCTAAAACATAGTTTTAGTACAAAAATAAAAAATTTTGTACTAAAACTTCGTTTTAGAAAGCAGTAAAAAAGCCGTCCCAAACGATTAGTGTGGATCTACATCAAAATAAATCTAGACTAGCATCATGAATTACGATCTTAACGCATTTCGGTACTCAAAATTAAAAAAAATTTTGCATTACAAAAATGATTATAAACTTCTCTGAACTAGCTTACTTGATTGAGCTCTGCAGTTTGAGTATGATGACTGGCTGGCAAGCCAATGCGGTTGCCCTCCAGTTGAAGAGTGGAGGAAGAAAATGTATGAAGCAACTGCGAAGAACAGGGTTGCGCGGCCTGAAAGCTACCGCGATCAGTGGGACGATGATGATTTGGTTACTGCAGCGCATCAAGATTTCATGAAATCTCTGTTTTCTTCTTAAATTTACAGCCCTGACTTGTAACTTCTTATTCTTGTTCTTTGTGATAAATGAATGTATTATTTGGGCTGATATTGGTTCGACTGTGAGCCTGTGAATAAAATGATAAACGTGTTATGGAGGAAGAGTAATCCTGTCATAATTAGTGCCTCCTGTTATCTTACAAAAGAAAGCTAAGCCTTCTGAGTCAATATATTGGGAGCTCAGAACCGTTGAAGCTATGGTAGATATTTTGAAGGCATTCTTCGTTTGAATTGAGTTGCTTATTTGTTTAATGTGGATTAAAATTTAGTTTGGAACAGCTTACTTATTATTTTTTAGTGTTTTTAGTACGAAATTTTCTTAAGTTAGAATTTTTTAACTAAAAAACTGCTTTAGAAAGCAAGAAGAAAATTTTGGAGATGGCTTTCTTACTACTTCATAAAGCGACTTTCTAGTTTAAAAATTAAAATTTTAATACTAAAAAGTTGCTTTAAGAAGCAGGAAATAGTTTTAAAATAAGAACTAATTTTAGGCCCCTTGTCTACGAGAAGAAATGATATCGAGACGTTGGTATGAAAAATATATCATGATTAGTTTTGAGATAATTCAATTTGCATTAAAATTAATCTTATATATGATATTTTAAATTTCACTAATTTTTTCCCGAGCAAATTAGGAGATTTGAGCATGTGAGCGATGAAGAATTGGATTTATTATTATGTGCAGAATTCGTAGGGCATCTAGAGACTAATAAAATTGGGCCACATCACCCCACTGTAGGGTACCCAATTTGGTACATGCACTCGGTATCCCTTGATACACCGCTGGGTACAGCGCTTAATCGGACGGTTCTCCCGTCTACTGTACGCACATAATAAAAGCTCGAAGAATTGCTACCGTTGATCATAGGCAGCAATACAATCTCAAATTATACTAATTTTAATACAAATTAGATAATTTTGAAGTTTATCAAATTTTACTTTGGAAATAATTTTGATAGTGGTTTAAAAAAATGCTTGAATTTTCTATTAGATTTTTAAGCAATACAAATAACATTATTTGGATTTTGCTAATTAATTTTTCCTGCTAAAAGTAGAAATATTAAAATTAAAATAAAAAATTATGCACCAGCCGGGAATCGAACCCGGGTCTGTACCGTGGCAGGGTACTATTCTACCACTAGACCACTGGTGCCATTTTAAACAATTGCTTTCAATGTTTTTTATTACAAAGATAAAAGAAAATTCTTCTTCTCTTACCGGCCTCCTTCCGTTCTTCCCGCTCTGCCTCTACTCGGTACACCTTTTCCAATCTCTGTTCCGCTCTGCAATAAAAAACCCTAGGCTTTCTTTCCACAGTGGAAGGCATCGTCTCGACCCATGACCCAATATCCAGAAATGAGTGCGTTCAATTCATTTGAGCTTCTTGATCATTACTTCCACTACCTGTGCCGAAAGGCCGGCTTTACTAGTCCGAGATTCTCCTGCTTGGAACCAGCGGAAGACTATCTTGATTTCGAATTCGATATTTTACACCCTAGCTTCATTCCTGTCGATCGCGGCCGTTCATATTGCCTTCACCCTCATTATCATCATCATCAATATCATCCTTTTCGCTTGTTACTGCCAAATGTGGACTTCTTTGATGCAGCCTCGGATCTTATCTTTCATAACCGAGCTGAGGCAGAGCTTTGCGTCCGGGGCCTCGGCGATCGGCTTGCCATGCTCGAGCTTGGGTTTGATCGGGACATTGGCCCCCAAGAGAGCAAATGGAAATGGACTGCTGAGATCAAGGGAAATAAGCGGGAAGGATTCGATCAAAAATACAAGTGCACAGCGGAGACGAAGGGAGCTTTTACGAATAGCGCGAGAAGAACGATAGAGTCCCGTGGAAAGGTAAAGTATACGTTCGATGCTGCTTCGGCGTCAGCGCAAGATGTTTGGGAGAGGGCTAAGAAAGAAAAGAAAGTAAAAAAGGCTGTGGCACGCCCCGTGGAGATCGATGATGGAGCCGATCAGCAAATTGTTTCTAAAAGACAGGTCAGTAATCTTCTAATCTGATGAATTGTTTTCGATATTTTTTTTAATGAATATGGCTAGCATCTGCCTCAACCATTTACATATCTACATATCTAAATTTTAAGCTTTATTTATATAATACTTTAATATCTTAATTACATCAAATTATATGCTGAAAACAAAAATTATTTAAAAGAAGGGTTAGTGGGGTTTCTATGTGATTTAAATATTTGAATGTTATATAAATAAATATCAAAATTTTGATGTTATAAATAAATATATAAGAATCGTCTAATATGCATTTATTTTTTTCCTATTCTTAAGATGCATGACTGTTTGAATTAGAGGTGTAAGTGAGTCAAGACGACTCAATAAAAGACTCATGAGCTGAACTCAATGAGCTAACAACTCGAACTTACGCCAATCCTGACTCGACTCGTCTACTCACAAGTTGGCTCGTTGTTAAAAATATTTATAGATTATGTCTCACTTTTTTATATTAAGTGGTTTTTAATTATTTTTCTTATAATTTTTTATCGTCCCCTACTAAAATTAAATTTTGAGTAAAAAATTTTAGATTTTCATAACCAACTGCATTCGTTCATGAAAACATGGATGGAAAGTTTGTCGTATTGGAAGACATGTTGAAGAAATTGCTTGAAGCTAAACCTATACAACAACATCTAAAATAAAGGAAGCCATCGATGGTAAAGGAAGAGGAGGAGACCCTATTCTGTTTAGGGGAGGGGAGAATCAAGGTGGAGATTTTGGAGGGAGAAAACGGGATGCCTCCACTAGAGCCTATTTCTAGAGAGGAGATGAGTATCGGGTACAAGCGAAGGGGTGTTGATTTTATGAGGAAAGGGGTGGATTATGAATGTCAGGGTGCTGATTTTGAAAGGAGGGGAATTTTGAAGAAGGATTTGGATTTTAGGGAAGAAGGGAAGTTCGTGACACTTGGGGAGCAGAGGCGATCCGAGAATAAGGATGTTGAAAATGCCTATCTTTGGGGGAGATGCTACACATGGGTGGATGTACAAGATGGAGAGGTATTTCGTCGTCAACGGTTTGACGGAGGATGAGAGGTTGAAAAAAATAACCCTATGTTTGGAGGGGAAAACCTTAGCTTGGTACAAGTGAAGAGACATGCAATGACCCATACGGAGCTGGAGGGAGTTAAAGAATTGCTTGTTGGAACATTTTCAAACCAGCAGGAGATGAGACTTCTACAAGCAATTTTTCACCCTAACATAGGAGGGTTCAGTGGAAGAGTATTGGGAGAGGCTCGAGTACCCTGCTAGCCATTTGGACCGTCATTCATAGACGATGTTAAAGGGTAAATTCATGAAGGGACTCAAACCATAGATCTGAGCAATGGTTAGGGTGAAGAGGCCTCGGGACTTGGGAGAGGCTATGGAGCTAGCATAGTTAGTAGAGGATTAGAAGCACCTGGAAAGGGGGTCCAGAGGCTACAGTTTAGGAGGGCCGTACAGGATGACCACCATATTCCTAGCTCCTAAAGGACCAACACCAAGAAACTTTCGGGAGGCCCTAAAGGAGAAGCTTGTAGGAGGGGGATTTGGGGAAAAATTTCAAGAAACTCACTGAGAATGTGCTTTAAGAGAAGCAGACAAAGGGATTGTACTTCATATATGATGAGAGGTACACATCAGGGCATACTTGTAAGGATTGAACTATTCAGGTTCTCACTGTCTATGATGAAGAGGAAGCCGAAGAAGGAGATATAAATGGGGCAGTGGTGGAAGAAGAGGAAGAGTTGCATCTGGACATAGCTGAACTCTCCTTAAATTTAGTGGTGGGATTCACTGTGAATTACACCATGAAAGTAAAAAAAGAAATAGTTGACAAAGAAGTGGTGGTGTTGATCGATAGTGGGGTGACCCACAATTTTATCTCTAATCTGGTTCGTTAACCATTTGGGGGTGAAATTGGTGGACATTGGGGGCTACGGGATGATGATGGGCACTGGGAAGATGAAGATGGGTAGAGGAGTGTGTAGGGGAGTTGTGCAGACTATATGGGGGGTTTAGGTGAGGGAGGATTTTCTCTCATTTAAGTTGAGGAGCACTGATGTCATCCTAGGGATGAAGTGGTTGTAGACCTTGGGAGATACCAAGGTCAATTGGAGAGCGCTAATGATGGAGTTGGTGGTGGAGGGAAGAAGAATGGTGATCGAGGGAGATGCAAGGTTATCCAGAGACATAGTATATCTCAAAATCATAATCTTGACCATACAGGAGAAGGGGGATTTCTAATGAAACTGCAGATCTTAAAAGGGATTAAACTAGAGGGGGGAGACATTCTTCTTTCAGTACAGCCACTCATACAACATTTCAGTGAGGTTTTTCAGCCACCTCAAGGCTTACCTCTACCCAGGGAGCAGGAGCACGTCATTATCCTGAGGGAGGAGGTGTACCTATTAGTGTACGACCTTATCATTAGGCTAAGTGTGAGCTCTTTTTTTAGTCCAATCTTATTGGTAAAAAAATAGCATAAGAGCTGGCGATTTTATGTGGACTACAGGGCCTTGAACAAGGAAACTGTCCAGACAAGTTCCCCATTCTAATGATTGCTGAGCTGCTGAATGAGCTATGTGGTGCAGTGGTGTTCACCAAGGTGGATCTGAAGTTAGGATACCATCAGATCAGGATGGGAGAGGAGGACTTTTGGAAGACTACTTTCAGGACACACGATGGGCATTATGTGTTCTTAGTGATGGCATCCGGGCTCTCAAATGCCTCTGTTACATTCCAGTCGCTCATGAACATGGTGTTCAAACCATATCTCAAGAAGTTCATACTTGTCTTCTTTAATGACATATTATTGTATAGTAAATTGATAGGAGAGCACTTGAAGCATGCAAGGGTGATCTTGGAAGTATTATGGGAGCATCAGCCAAGGGCCAACCTGAAGAAATGTTACTTTGCACATACCATTGTGGAATACTTGGGGCACGTGGTCTCTCAAGAGGGGGTGGCTGCCGACTAGGCCAAGATTGAGGCAATGTAGAAATTGTTTCTACTTAGGAATCTGAGAAAGCTGAGGAGGTTCCTAGGGTTGACAGGGTACTACCGGTGATTTGTGAGAGGTTATAACACCATATCTTGGCCATTGACAAAGCAACTAAAGAAAGACAATTTCTTGTGGGGAGAGGCAGCTACAAGCCTTTGAGAGACTAGAAAAGGCCATGAATACATTACCAATTTTGTCTCTACCAAATTTTAGTCAGATCTTTGTGGTAGATATGGATGCAACAGGATATGGGTTGGGGGCCGTGTTGATGCTGAATCATAGACCCATAGCCTATTTCAGCCAGTGTTGACAGCCAAAGTTTGGTTGAAGTCAGTCTATGAGAGAGAATGATGGCTATTGTATTAGCCATTTAGAAGTGGCGACCATACTTGTTGGGATGGCATTTCATTGTTAGGATGGACCAAAGGAGCTTGAAGTTCCTTTTGGAGCAGAGGATGGTGACGGAGGAGGATTAGAGATGATTATCAAAGCTATTAGACTATGATTTTGGGATTCAATATAGGTCCATATTAGAGAGAAAAATGGTGGATGCCTTGTCCAGATGTATGTGAGAACTCCAGGAGTTGGCTATGTCGATACCATTGATGTTGAAATGGGGGCCATCAAAGAGGGGAGTATGCAGGATGAGGAGTTGGGAAAAATCCGAGCAGATCTTCTGAAGGATGAGACTAGTCGCTCGGGCTACTCTTTGGAAGGGGAGAAATTGCTATACTAAGGGAGGTTTGTAATGTCCAGGACCTCAATTCATATCTCATAGCTACTGCATGAATTCCACGGGAGCGCTGTTGGAAGTTACTCAGGTGTAAAAAAAGACATACATAAGACCGGCAGCAGAGCTGTATTTGAGGGGGATGCACAAGGATGTGGAAGAAATGGTGATTAGAGGTGAGGTGTGCCAGAGGAACAACTATAGCCATGGCTTGTGGTAGGGATGTCAACAATTGACACGATATGAAAATCTGACCCAAATTTTTCAGGTTAGGATCAACCCTATTTAAGAACGGGTCGGGTTCGGGTCCCTATTTTTTACCTGTTTTTAATCTCGGGTGAGGTTTGGGTCAACCCAAAAACCAGATTTGGACTCGGTTCGATTAAGCTGTTCCGCTTCCGCTCGCAAGCCCTAATCGCGCTTCCACCTTCCTCCTCCCCCTTTCGACCTTCGATGACGTTCCTTCATGTCGGGTCAACGATGTTTGACGACATTCACATCCCATTCGCGTGAAGGTAACCATTGTTTCATGTCAGGTCTGATCAACCCAAAAACTCGATGGATCTAGTTCGGGTTGAAATTTTTGACCCCATCCCTCTGCAAAAATGGGTCGTGTTCGGGTCATGTTAAATAGTAATGGGTCAATGTCGGGTTCGACCAGAACGCGACCCATAACCCAATTTTGACACCCCTAACTTAGGAGGGGTTACTTCAACCCAAGCTCTACCTAACAGGGTGTGAGAGGAGGTCATCATGAACTTTATTGATGGGCTTCCACGATCAAAAGGGTTTATGATGATTCTGATGGTAGTTGACATATTGATCAAATATGATCACTTCATTCCCCTATAACACCCTTACACGGCAGTGACAATAGCTACCGCTTTTATAAGGCGGTGGTCAGGCTATATGGGATACCAGAGTTTATAATATCTAATAGTGATAAGGTGTTTCTCAGTATTTTTGGAGGGAGTTGTTCAGATTATAGTGGTCAGTACTGAAGAGGAGCATCGCTTATCACCCTCAGACTAACAGGTAGATAGAGGTAGTGAATAGGAGCTTGGAGACAGTTGTAGTGTTTTTCTTTATAAACACCTAGGGCATGGGTTAAGTAGTTGGCATGGACAGAATACTGGTATAGCACTTCCTACAATTCGACCTCCAAAATGATCCATTTTAAGGTGATGTGTGAGAGAGACCCGCCACATTTGGTACATGTGGGGCAGGTCTGCACACCTGTATCTTCAATAAAGCAGTATTTGGAGGAAAAGGATAGGAAGTTGGACGAGCTAAAAAGACACTTGCTGATGGCTCAATAAATTATAAAGAAGCAGGTGGATGGGCACAGGAAGGATATCAAATTTGTTTTTTGGGGATAGGGTATTCCTAAAGCTGCGACCCTACATATAACAAACAATAGCCAGCAGAAGGAATGAAAAGCTTGCCTCGAGATACTTTTGCCCTTATAAGGTGTTGGAGAGAATTAGAGTAGTGGCCAACGCTTGAAGTTACCCTCGACTGCTTCCATACACCGCGTATTCCACGTATCATAGTTGAGGACAGTGGTGGGGGTTCATGCAACTTATTCAAAATTACCAAGATCACTGATAAATGATCTAGAGGTGGTTTTGGAACCACTAGAGCTTCAAAGGGTACAACAGGAAGAGGGAAGGCCCAAGAAAATACTAATTAAGTAGAAGAACTTACCTCACTATGATGACACATGGGAGCCATATGAGAGGGTGAAGCATCCATTTCCCTCCTTCCACCTTAAGGACAAGGTGTCTCTTGGGAGAGGAGTATTGTTAGACCGGATCCTGGACCGGTCTAGCCTGCCCAACCAGGACCGGTCCAGGTCTATGACAGGTGGAACAGGAGGGTTCCGCCGTTCCCCACCTTATGTGGGGTCCACAAGCTAGATTAAGGCAGGATTTGGGGTCCACCTTAATTCAAATAGCAAGAGTAGTTTGGGTTTTAATCTAATTATTGTATTAAGAACGCTTGAGGGAGGATAGGGTTAGTTTTTATCTTTGATTTTTGCTGAAATTAGGGCTCTTGTATTCTTGAGCGGGCTCTATTGACGTCTAGAGATTTGGGAGACGAATCTTCCTCTCCAATAGAAGATCCATTGTATCTTGATGTTTTTCTGCATTTTTCAATCAAAAGCTCAAATTCTATTTTTTTTTCCTACAACATCTTTGCAATTTCTGTTTTAAAATTGCTTGAACTAAATTTCAGCAAGTGAATTTCTGAATTTCTACAAGTGTTTCCTAACAGTATAGCATAGCGTGGGAATGGATAGTATAATATTAGTTGTCTGACGTCACACCATAGCTTTTTTTTTTTTTTTTAAATGTGATGATCAAATTTCTTGGTTCTATATGATTAGGAGCTTGTCTCCCGTTACAATATAGGATCGAGTGTTAGTTTAAATATGCGTTTGCATTGAGATTGAATTACTCGAAACAAAAAGGTTGAAATCAGGTCCTTTAATATCTGTTAAGTAACTGGCAAAGTTTAATTTACTGGATTGATTAGTTTGTTTTGATTCTCTATGAGCTTAAATTCTTTTTGATATTAAGGCTTTAGCCAAGAGAACTGTACACGGAAGTAAGGGTAAGAAAAAAGAACTATCACCACAAGATGCAGCAATGGCAATTCAGAAGACATTCAGAGATCATATGTCAAGACGCTCGCAAGCTCTTCATTCTCTTAGGGATCTGGCAGTGGCTAAGTCCAAGCTGAAGGAGATTAGAGCCTTGTTCTCAAATTTTTCTTATCGTCATCGGATATTAAAAGATGCAGAAGAACGGCAACGCTTCTCTGAGAAAATTATCATACTTCTAGTCACTGTTGATGCCATAGAGGTAATCTCTCTCTCTCTCTCTCTCTCTTCTAATACTGTCTAATTAACCAATAAATAGCTATAATTCAGCATGAAGTACTGACTCTTACATCTAATTAATGACAATAACACAAGCAATTGACCTTAAACTCACTCTTGTATTCGCATTTTTCTCTAAGTGTTGTAGGAAATGAATATGGCGATATATTTTATTATTTTTTTTTTTTTTTAATTGTGATGTACAGATATTAGCTGTTTTTTCCTTTAAGCAATTGTACTATATTTTTTTGAGACAATTTTGGTTGGATGATTAGAGACTTAGGATTTGTTTGTAACGGTTACAAAGTTTTATAAAGTTTTTTTTTTTTGGGGAAATTTGGAGCGAAAGCCCTTCTATTAACTAAGGAAAAATTACATGTAATAAAAGCATATCCCAGAAAATGGGAAGAAGCCCAAAAGAAACAACAAATGTAAAAAAGAAACATATACCACCAATAAAACTAACCAATGAAACCAACAAAAATGTGGTATACAAAATTTGATCAGGACTCAGGTATATGCTGCAACAAAAGACGAGGGACACGGTCATCGAATTGGACAGAAATAAACCCTTGGTTGCCATAAAGACCCTCCAAGGGGTTAGTGCTGCAGCGGTCATCATCGTCCTACAAAATTGTCTGAAATAACCAAAAAAACCTATCATCCAGAGCAATCCAGTGGGCATCCAGTAAGTGCAGCCAGCAGAGAAACCAGCATTTGAAGCAGCCCCCAACAGTTAATACAAAAATAACAGCCAAGAACCAATTGCTATGAATAGCAAGAGAACACCAATTACCCCAAAAGATACAATAGGTTGCTGCCATTTTTCCATCTCCCCAATTTAGCATGAACTGCATATTTTATCTTTCCAATCACAGTAGTATGACATTCAATGATGTTGCCAAAAATTCTGTCATTACGAGCCCGCCAAATGTAGTAAATAGCAGTATTTACTAAAAGGCAATAGAAGTTCAGCATATCAGAAGAGTCCGAGAGGTTGTCAACCAAATCAAAAACTTGAAAGATGTTCGGACGGAGAAGTAATGAGTCGGCTTGAGTGATCAGTGTACAGAGAATCTTAAAAGAGAAATCACACTCAAAGAAGAGATGGGAATGTGATTCTCTACTCACCAAGCAAAAGGTACATAGTGGATTAACTTTAATACCCCGCATAATCAAAATGTCTGTTGTTTTAAGCCCATTCTTAACAGCCAGCCAACCAAAAGCCGAAAACCTGATAGTCGAATGCTTATGCCAAACAAAATGATGCCAATTCAACACCGGATAATGCATATAAAATTCCTTCCTAAAAATTTTATTAGTAACTTTCTCAGAATTTGCCCAAAGGCAACTATAACCAGCATTACAAATGGGAACAGAGTATATAATATTCGTTAATTCAGTGGGCCAGCAACTAGGCAAATTCCAGCTACCATTCATCAGAATAGTAGACACAATCTTCCTGTTAAGGTTCTCCAACCAGTTCTCATTAGAATTAGAAACAGCCAACTCCATGATAGATTTACCTTGGCACCAGGGGTCCCAAAGGAGGGAATGGTGACAATTAGGGAGTATCTTAAACTTCAGGCAGTTTTTGATTTGTAAGGCAATAGCAGAAAGTTTGTTCCAGATTTGGGAGCTGCCTTTATTATGAGGAAACCAAAGAGAGGTGTACAGATTACACCAACAGCAAAAAAGTAGGCTGCTACCATTTAAGAACCGCCAGATGATAGAGCAGCCGAAAGTGAAAGATAAAGAGTCAAGAGAAGGCAATCCAATACCACCATTGATTTTAGGAATGCAGGTGTCTTTCCTGGCAATCAGTCGTAGTTTTTTTGCAGCAATGTCACGGGAGTAAAGGAAACGTGAACAAATTTTATCCAGAGTTTTGAAACATTTCTTGGGTAAGATAGAGCCTCTAATCCAGTAGGCAATCGTATTGTAGATGGTGTATCTTAAAAATTGGATCCTACCCTCAAAGGAGAGGGTTTTTGCTTTCCACCCTTCCAAGGCATTAGAGATTTTAACATGAGAGGATGGAAATCAGCAAAGGAAAGCTTTTGTGGTGGATGGGAAGGCCCAGATATTTAATGGGCCTAGAGGTTTGTTGGATGTTAAGAATATCACAGATGTTCTCACTCAGTTGGCAGTTTTTGGAGAAAAAAATTGTGCTTTTGGCAGGGTTGACAACCAAACCAGAAGAGAAAGCAAACCGCTTCAGAATATCCATAAGACAAGAAGCCTCCTGTAAATTAGCTTTGGAGAAGACCAATAAATCATCAACATATAATAGATGGTGAATAGCAAAATTGCCCATCTTAAAGCCTTGAAAGCTCTGAGAATTAAAAGCTTCCTCAAAGATGCTAGAGAGAGCATCCATAGCCACCGTGAACAAGTAAGGAGAGAGGGGACAGCCCTGTCTTAAGCCAGATGACGAACTAAAAAAACCTTCAAGAGACCCGTTAATGGCAACAGAGAAATGAATGTCAGAGATACATGATTTAATCCAGGAAATGAAAACAGTGGGGAAACCTGTAACAAGAAGCCATTGTAGAATGAAATCCCTGGATATAGTATCAAAGGCTTTGTGAATGTCGAAATTAGCACAAAAGTATTTGTCTCTAGAGGTAGATTTGAATTTGCTCAAAATTTTTGAGGACAGAATAATATTATCAGTAATAATTCTGTGTTGAATAAATCCAACTTGTGCAGAATGAATAATATGAGGCATAACAGTTTTCATCCGGTTGGCCAACAATTTTGCAATAATTTTGTAGAAGGAATTGCACAAAGAGATGGGCCTGAAATCATTAACAGAAGTAGCATGAGAGTGTTTGGGAATAAGAGCAATTGCAGTGTTCTTGGCTTGTCTGGGGAGGAAGGAGTTAGAAAAGAAGGAGAGAACCGCTTTGCAAATCTGGTTTCCAATAGCATTCCAAGTAGATTTATAGAATTCAAACGTGAAGCCATCCGGACCTGGAGCAGCTCAAGTCGGGGAGGAGAAAATAACCTGTTTAATCTCATCCACAGTAAAAGGAGCAATAAGACCATTAACAAGCTCAGGGGGAATAGTATTTCCAGAAGGAATGCAATCATTCCCCAAAGGGGGAGCACTATTAAAAACCTGATGGAAATGATTTATAAAAGCATCAGATATTTCATCTTTGGTGTCCAACAACACACCATTCACCAAGATCCCTCTAATCTGGTTGTAGTTGTGCTTGCTATTGATATTAGAATACAAAAATTTCAGGTCATCCTCCCCATCTTTAAGCCATCTGGTATTACATCTCTGAGTAACCCAGTCAACCCATCTAGCTTTATAATCAGACAGATCCATATTAATAGACAAAAGTCTAGCATTTAAAGCATTGTTCAGAGGGTCATTTTGAAGGCAGGAGAGAGTATCCGTTTGAGCCTGAGCAAGAGACTCCATTTTATCTCTAATAAAGTTTGAATAAGTCCAATTACTTTGTTTAAGTTGACATTTGAGCTCTCTAAGCTTATGGTAGTGATCACAAATGGGACTACCAGTTGGGGGAGAGGAGAAAATCTCCAAAACAGACTTCCAGAAAGCAGGTAAGGAACTCCAGTAGTTTTTAAACAAAAATCGGTGTTTGTTGCTAGAGGGATGTTCCAGATTAAGAATAATAGGGCAGTGGTCTGAAATATCTGTATCGCTTACAATGTAGTAGGAGTTGGCAAAACAGGACAACCAGGCCTCAGTGATGAAGGTTCTGTCAAGCTTAATATGTATCGGGTTATCCAGCCTATGGTTATACCAAGTAAAGAAATGACCAACAGAGGGTAATTCCGAGACACTTGCATTGAAGACAAAGTTATTGAGTTCACCCATTTTACTATGAGATAAAGGAATTCCCCCAACTTTATCCGAAGGGGAAATACAGCAGTTAAAATCACCCAAAATAGCACATGGCAAAGTTTCATTACTAACCAGATGAGCCACCGTATCCCAAAGCACTTGCCTCTCAGCAATGAAATTAGAGGCATAAATAACCGAAATGCAACAGATATCCAAATTTTCGGCTTGAACAACACCATGTATAACTTGACTAGAAGTATTTAAAGGTTTAAAGTGCACCTTCTGAGCATTCCACTTCACCCAGATTCGTCCAGGTGAAGAGAAGAGAAATTGTTGAAAGAGTCCTCAACCGGGAAAACTTTGTGGGCATTAGAAAACCAGTCATCTAGCGCCGCAGTCGCAGAAATTTTAGCTTCCAGGATAAACAACATATCAAGCTTAAATTTATTCACCAAAGACTTGCACGACAAAACTTTAGAGGCATCATTGAACCCTCTAATGTTCCAGGAAGCCATACGAGGAAGGGTCATTTATGTTTATGTTTGGAGTTGGTAGCCTTTTTGGTTTGCTTGCTTTTAGTGTTTTTTGGGCTGTGAATTTCATTGGCAGAGTCATTGCTGAAGTTGGAAAAGTTGAGCAGATGATGGTAAGGAGGAAATGTTTTGGTGCTTAGAGGAGGATTGGTCAATAGGAGAGGACTTAGGAGGTGAAGCAGTAGGAGGATTAGTGGTAGTAGAGGTGGAGATGACGGGTGGGTCCTGTTGATTAGACAGAAGATCAAATTTATTGTTAATAGGAAGACTAGTTTGTTTGAAAGCGGCCAGAGGCGAAGAGGTCTTAGAGGATGAGGGAATATCAGCTGGATTAACATCAGTTGGAGGTGAATTGAGGTTCGGAATGGGGGTTGTTTGAGGATTGGTTTGAGGTGGTAAAGGGCCCGTTAAAAGTGGAGGTTGATTTAGTGGAGGTTGACTTAATGTTGGAGCTACCGTAGAGGCAGTAGAAGGATTGGGGGGTTTTGAAAAGTTGACAGCTTGTGGAGGTTGACTTAATCGTGGTTTACGGCTCGAGCTCCGACCTCTGGCCTGGGGAGGCAGAGTAGTAGAAGGCATGGGGTTGGGATTTTTTGGGCATTGTTGGGGGGCATGATAAATGGAGCTGCAAAAGGAGCAAGGCGAAGGCTTCCAATCGTAAAGAACAGTATGAGGCGAGGCCTTTCCATCAACCGAAATAAAAATTTCATCAGGTAAAGGAGAGGAGCAAGAAACCTGGACACAGACACGAGCAAAAGTCAACCTTGTTTTTGCCGTAGTAAGTGCATCCACCGCTAATGGCACACCGACACAACTAGCGATTTTAGAAATTCCTTCCGGCGTCCAGCAAGAGAGCGGAAGGTTTTTAATCTTGATCCAGAGGGGTATTGAGGCGAACTCTTCACGCTTAGGTATGAAGTCCGGCGACCACTTCTGGAGAGTAAATGGCTTCCCAAAGAAAAATCACGGTCCTCCAGACCACGCCATGTCGTAGTCCTCCGGGGAAGAGAACTTCAGCAGGAAAAAACCGTCGTCGAGGGTAAGAAGGGAGAGCTCACCTTTCAGCTTCCAGGTACGCTTGATCACCGCTAGAAGCGCCTCATAAAAAGGCCTTCTACCGATGGAGTAGCCGACTAAGGACAAGTTCCATTCAGGAGCACCAGCATCAAACTGGGTTTTGGTGAAGTGGGCAGTGAAATTTTTTGTAGGGTGGTGTGCTAACGAGCTGGAGAAGTCATGAGAGACAGGGGTTTGTGAAGAGAGAAGCTGTTTCCAGTGAAGGAGGTCCTTGGAGAGGGAAGCCAAGGAAGCGAAGGAGTTGGTTAAAGGGGGAAAAGCGGATGAGGAGGACATCCTGAAGGAGTCCTCCTCCGGCGGCGGGAGGGAAAGGAAAAACGCGCGAAGAGAAACCCTAGCAGAGTTTCTCACTCTATCACTAAATCACTTCCCCACAGCTTTTCAAGTTTTATAAAGTTAATGTAAAATTACTGTAGAAAAAATAACTATTATTATACAAAAGTAATTTTCCGCCACATAAATTTTTTGAGGAGATTTTTGAGAAGATATGAGAAAATGACAATAAAATAGTAGCCAAATAAAAGTATGATTTCTTAAAAGTAAAATAGGGAGAAAGCTAGTCCAAGCAGACAATATTTTCATTTTTATTTAAGGAAAAAAATATAAATATGAAAAAAAATGATAGGCCATTATCTCATAATTTTCTAACATACAATTTTTTTTTGGAACGTGTATCCATCCGCTGCCACCCATGAAAGGGCGTTAGGCGGCGTGATTAATCCTCGGCTGACCTAGAAGAGGCACCCACCCCAGAAACCTCCTGCCCCACACTTGATTGTGCCATACTTAAGAGGCACTGTCACTCGAGGGAATTGAGCACGGGTTGGGGGGTTCCCAACCTTTCTCGCGCACCAACCAAACTAAACAACGGCGGGTGGCATACAACATATAAATGATGTGGAAGTTGTGTTGAACTCTGCAACTATTTTATTTCCTCTTATTCAAAATACCAATGATTTTATGGTCGTCAATTCTCATAGTTTATGAATTAACATATTCATTTATATTTATTCATGTTTTCCATGATTACTATGCCCTAAGGAATGAAATGATTGTTTGATTCGTTGCTCTTCGCAATCATCACTTTACAGGGTCAAGATCTTATGGTGCGCTCAGCTAAGAGGTCAATGACCCGCGAGCTGGAAGCCATGCTTGCGGTGGTGGATCCACAGCCATACCGGGAATCGGGATCGAGGCGGCGAAAGTTCGATCTGCCGGTCGGCCCCTTCTCAACTGAGTTGTCTTCTGGTGTGGCTGATGTCGTCCGCATGCTCGATCAAGAAGACGGTGGCAGCGCCATCCTCCCTGACTTTTCACTCTAATCTCACTTCATCACCAGTATCCTATTTTCTTCACTCCATTCTAATTAGATTGCTGAGGATGACTTCGTGTTCTCATTTACAAAAAAATATTAAAACTGCTTGGATGCTATCTAGTAGCCTCAAAATTCGTGTTTCGTATAGTGGAAGGTTGTAATGCAGCTCTACATATGGATATCTAGGGGCGGAATCAACCTTAATTTTCAGGGGTAACTTTATAAGTATAAGTATGGAGATTTTTTTTTCATATATATATCATTTTAGTAACTAATGATTATTTGTACTTGAATATATAATATATTTTAAAAACATCATCAACATCTTGTATAATGACAATTATTTTTAAACCAAAATTAGGTAACACCTCTACACAATATGTTCGGATTCAAGGTGGCAACACACCCTGCGAGGGTTTCCGGAGGCAACTAGAATAAATTTTGGTTGTAAGGATATTTTTGGATTCTCTTTGCTATTTCTCTTTGTATTTAGTTCACCATTCTCTAATAATAACACCTCTACACAATGTATTTAATTATGTTGGGGGCAATTACTTAAAGACCATAGTAATTTAAAACTTTTATGGGGGCAAATGCCTAAATTTTGTTGTAATAATCCCTCTACACAATGTGTATAATTCTGGTAGGGGGCTATCATCTAAAGATCATAATATTTTAATTTTTTAGGAGAGGGGGGAGGGGGGTACTAAAGGGTTCCGCCCTTGTGGATATCAATCAGAATGAGTCACGTAAGTGATACCGAACCGTGGTACCAAGCAGTACCGAGCCGTGGTACCACGGTATCGAGCGGTACCGAGCTACGGGCTTAGGCCTTCTCCAACCAAACTCCAAACGCATGAATGGCGTCGCTCGTGAGCTCCAGCTGAACGACAAAACTTCCTGTATTTGGTTGCGGGTGAACAGTGTGACACAAATATTGACATTGTACTGTTCATCTTCACTATTTTTCCGTCTCCACGGGATTTGCTGAAGAAACGTGCAAAGGAGAAAGATGGTTAATTAGGTGTAAAATGAAGTTTAATTGGAGATGAATCACCTCATTTTTTAATTTAATTATATTTTAGATTGAAAAAAATGAGACATTGGATTGGAGATTCCCTTAGATATCCAAACTGGATTGGACTTTCCCACAGAATAATTTTTCGGAGCGAGTAAATGGTCCTCCGTCTCTTTAGGAATATAAGAAGATTGTGATGCACCTGGAACTTGCTTTAATGCCAGGAAGCTCTCTGTGGAGAGAGAAAAAAGAGAGCTATCTGCCATTAAAATACTGGTACCCACTGGCCGTCATTTTGGCTGCGGCTATGGCAGTTGCAGTTGTAGGCTCTACAGTAAGGGTTTTAATAGCTCGTAGATCTGTAGGAACCTGCCACCAGCAGCTCGAAAGAATGAAATCTTATGAAACAGTAGTGCAACAAAAAAAAAAGTCAAGATGGTTCAAATTCCTTGGATCTTCTGTAAGATGCGTGCGTTGGTGGGAACACTGTTCTTGCAGACCCAACAGTCTGATCGATGGGGTTATGCCCCAAAATTTTCCAAAAAAAAAACAGTCTGATCGATTCTACCTACAAATCACAATAAAATAAATTATATATATATATATATATATATATATATATATATATATACTATTTTTATTTAATTACATGAATATATAAATTTATTGATATTACGCATATAAATTTGTCTTTATTGAATTATTAATTTTTGGCTCATTTGTAATTTAAAGTATAATATTTTAATGTGGATATATCATCAAAACATTATCTTGATCGGGCACGAATCTAGAGGCAAAATCAAGTGGGAAACTTAAAAAATTAAATTCAGGATCATCTGAACTCTGATTTCATTAAACTTATAGTCAAACTGAGTGTCTCGGAAATACGAACCCAATGACACCAAATTCAACTCGATCTGAGCCCAAATGAGTTTGAATCGAAGACTCGAAGCACTATTGGAAGGTTCAAACTACAATTTGGATTGTCAAACGATTTCAAAACATGACATGCTTATAGTTGAATTGAGGACTCGTCAAGACTAATCCAACGAGCCCTAGATCATCGAATTCTGATATCGTTAAGACCTTTAAATATCTGACAAACGGTCCACGATAAAGGGATTCAATATCGGCCGTCCATCCGAACCACTCCACCTTTGCCCTTGATCCTCCTCATATTTACGGGTCATGCCATCCTCAAAAAATTATAAATAGTCCCTCATTTCTCTTGAGAGGGGACCCAAGCAAGAACAAGAAGAGAAGAAGGATAGAAGGGAAGAAACTCTGCCTCGATCATCGCCCGGAATTCTGCCTGACTTCCACGGGACGCCGGAGTTTTGCCCGACATCTACGGGATGCCGGAGTTTCGCCCGAATTCCCCGTGACGCCGAAACTCCGCCCAAGTGACGCCGAAATTCGGCCTGGCCTCCAAGTGAATTTGGGATTCAACCCGAATACCCAACATCGTTTAATCTCAAATTATTGTTTGTAACTGAACTTCAATTCAGGAGTGGATTATTGTAATCTGATCGTCCTAAATTTTAAGGACAAGTCAACCTCTTGTACCTCAAGAAAATACTAATGGAACTCTTTCAACAGGGTATGGCCTTGTGATTTTTTCCCTTTCCAAGATTTTCCACGTAAAAATTCGGGTGTTTTTATTTCTCTCGTATTTGTGTGCTAAATATCCGTACAACGCTAAGACGGAAACTTTCTAACTCTATCACCGCGTATATTCTAGTCCGCAATAAATGTAATAATATTAATGATAAAAATGTTGTAAATATCTTTAGGATTACATAAAAGATGTATAATGTTAAAGACTTAAAAAGTATAAATTACTTTTTTTACATACAACAAAGAAATTTATAAAAAGCAATTTTCACAAGATAAAATAATTTCTTTGGCATCCTAAAACTGATCATTTAATATGTAAAAATCTAAGTCCACGTGAGCAAGTTATCTAATACTACCCTATAGCAAAATTAACATAAAATAGTATTATTTTGTCCTAGAGTATTCACGGCAGTAGAAAAGTATAAAGTTTAACATCTTAGCATTATACGAAGATCCAACACGCATACAAATAAAAGAGATGGTAGAATTCATAAGAGACAGCAAGATTTTTATGTGAAAAATCATAAAAAAGAAAAAAAAAAATCACGAGGTTTGACCCAGTTTGAATGAATCCACTATTATTTACAATGGATTACAAATGAGGCCCTTTCTTGGGAGAAGACCTTGACTTGATGTAATAAATATACATCATATAATATGCATTACATGATGGGACTTGAAAGAATCACTATTTATATGTTTGTTTAGTCGGAAGAAATATAGTTGGCGGGCGATTGAGGTCGGAAAGATCATTGTCTTACGACGGAGATTAGAAAGACCGATCGTAGTCGGCGGGCGATGGAGGTCGGAAGGATCATAGTCGGTGGGCGACGGAGGTCAGAAAGATCATTATCTGGTGACGGATGTCAGAAAGACTATTGATGGGCGAAAGTCTGACATCACATAGATATCCAGTTAGGGGCGAAAGTCTAGCATCAGGTAAAAATCCAATGAAAGTCCGACAACGGATAAAAGTCCGACGACGGGTGGAAGTTCAGCATCGAACAGAAGTCCCGGAATAAGCGGAAGTCTAACGACGGGTAAAAACTTGACGACGAACAGAAGCCAAGCATCGGGTAGAAGTCCGACGATTGGAAAAAGTCTGGAGGCGGGTGGAAGTCTGGCGTCGGGTAGAAATCGGGCGATGGGTCGAAGTCCGGTGTTAGTCGGTGGCCAGGAGGTGGTCGAGGAGTTTGGTGGCAAGAGAACTCTTCCTTCTCTTCTTGCTTGGGCTCCCTTCCTCTTCTCTCCCTCTCATGAGAAATGATGGGTCTATTTATATTTTTTTGAGTGCTATGACTAGTAAATATGAGGAAGACCAAGAGTAAATTGAGAGTGGTTTGAATAGATGGCCGATGTTGAATCCCTTGATCATGGACAATTTACTAGACATTTGAATGTCATAATGATATCAGAATTTGGCGATCTTTGGCTTGTTGGATCTGTCTCGTCGAGCCACTCGATTCAACCTTAAGCATGTCACATTTGGAAACTACTTGGTAATCCAAATTATAGTTTCAACCTTCCAAATGCGGTTCGGGTTTTGAATTGGACTCATTTGGGCTCGGATTGAGTCGAATTTGGTGTCGTTGGGTTCGTATTTTCGAGATGTTTAGTTCGATTGTAAGTTTATTGAAGTCAAAGTTCAGATAGTCTCTGATTTAATTTTTGAAGTTTCCAATTTGATTTTGCTTCAAGATTCGTGCCCGGTCAAGATAATCTTTTGAGGATATATCAAGTATATTTTCTTTCTGAAGTTAAATTACCTTTTAACATGTAACAAAAAAATAGTTTCTTATTGATATTTTCCTTTACTAAATAAATAAAATATAATAGGTCAAACAATTAAAAAAAGACATCACTTAGTTTTCTTTCTAAGGAAGTTTTGCAAATCAAGCAATGCTAGGCATTTGCTTGTTAAGGAAACCATTGATATTGAAGAATTGATGAGAAGAATGTGTTCATAGAAATTGAGGCTACCTTCATCATGAATTAATCAAGAAAAAATTATTATTTGAGTTAAATATATAATATTAGCAAAGCATGAATATATTCTTCTGGCTAATCAGCTGTTGACCTCCTTGAATTTGAATAAAACATGTAATGAGTAAGAAAAAATCTTTTAATAAATCCAAAAAAAAAAAAACAAAGGTAATGAAAATGATGTAAATGCTAAGCAAATATTTAAAAATATATGCATATAGTACAGTAGCAATCTTGGAAAACAACAATAAATGGAATCCAAAATTACCTTTGCTTGCTTACAATTTCTTCATTAATTGACTGCAACTGAGAGTGCAAAACTTTCTGCATGTATATGTTCCAACAAATAGCGTCAGCCATTCATGAGTTTAACATATGTGATAAAAATGGGGTTTTAACCATTCAGGTGAACAAGAAACATTAAAAAAAAAAAAATTCATTTTCAGTTAAACAAAATTCCTAATGGGAGTAGTTGCCAATGCTACGTTAAACAAAAGGGATTTTTACATACATAACACTTCAAAGTAGTGTAAATACATATCTAACACCAAAACTTTTGTATTTACTAATATACCACATAAAACTCCTCTTTTCATCTATTCTAACATTT